AAAGCATGTTACAGAGCAGAGAGCTGAGAATGCTCAGGTGTGTGTACCTGTCCTTCCATCCTGTATGTTTTTGTTTCAGGTGTTTTTCAGGTGCAGAATATTATTATTTCATCCACACAGTGAAGGAAGCAGGTCAGAGTGGATGATGGTGTGAAGATCTGGTGACTCCAGGCAGCAGAGGAGGCTGCTGTTGATTTTAAATCCGCTTTAATGCAGGAAGTGTTTCTACCTGCAGTCTGCATCTGATGTGAGTCTGATTCCTGCAGAGATGCTCGTCCTCACAACAGCTACTTCACAAAGTCTGATCTCACCTCCAAGGCTCCGACGTTTTACCCCAAACGTCCTGGTTCGGAGACGACCAGCAGATTTATGGCGCCGCGACCCGGCCCGTTCATCAGTGAACTCTGTCTGTGTTTCACATCAGGGCCTGTGAGCGACAGCCCAACATGTCTGAGTAATGCTAGCTTCCTGCCCCGAGCGCACCTGAACGCAGCGTCCTCCTACCTGCCACTGTGTGCTGCACCAGCAGATTTACTGCCCTGAGTTACGACCCCGCTGTCTGACGAGCGTCTGGTCGGGTTCTGTCCTCCAGAACTCCGTCCAGGTTTCAGATTCTGGAGCTGAAGTTGGTCCTCTGACTGGTTTCTGCCTAACAGCTGATTGTCTGTGTTTCCAGCCACGCCGCCGGCTACGACAGCGACCCCAGCACGCCCATGGTGTACAGCTGCAGCACCCAGTACCGGATCCACACGCACGGCGTCTTCAGGGGCATCCAGGTAGGCGTCGCCACGGTAACCGATGCTGCTCAGGAGGAGCTAAAGCGCCACCTCCGGTTAGTTCATGTCCTGGTGAGTCGAGTGATGCAGATCCTCAGCTGAACGAAGAAGTTCTACCAGAGAGACGCTACGAACCGGATCATGATAAAAACATGAAAATCTGGCAGCAAAGGTGACGAGAAATAAAAAGAATTATGGTTAAAAAACAGCAAATATCTGTAGAATGATGACGTATGAGGCAGATTTAAATAAAACTCAGTGTGACCTGTAGATCAGATGTTCATTCAATTTAAATGACTTTATTCATCTTCTTTTCTTTTAAATAACATGTCTGTAAAATAATTCTATTTTTGGCAAATAGTGTGATTTTAGGGCCAAAAGTTTTCAAGAAAAATAAATTAATTACCAACTATAAGATACTGAGGATGAAGGTTGAAGCAGTTAAAATAGGATTCATTATTTTTCATCCTTAAAGTACATCATCATCATCATCATCATCATTGTTTGTTGTTTTAAAATAAGAGCAAATATCTGTATGATAATAATAATGATATATTAGCAGACTTAAATCAGCAGATTTTTAAATATCATTTTCATTATCTGTAATTTATTCCTTAAAGTACTTTTTTCTTCTTTTTTATTTTTAAATATAACAACACATGTCTGTAAAATACTTCCAGTTTTGACAAATAGTGTGATTTTAGTTACTTTTATTTTAATTAAAGTTAAATTAGGGAGTTATAATATTGTTTTTTAAATAACAGGAAATATCTGTAGAATAATTAATATCAAGCAGATTTAAAGAAACCTCAGTGTTAGCTGTAGATGTACAGATTCGTCATGTGGACATTGTGAGCTGTCCTGAAGGACTTTTTTCTTTAAAAAAACAAAAACAGAAATCTGTTTTAAAAACAAACAAACAAACAAACAATAAATCTGTTTAAAAAAACAAAAAACATTTTTTGGCTAATAGTGTGATTTTACAGCCAAACGTTGCAAAGAAAAATAAATTAATTACCAATTATGATCATAAAAATACACTGAGGATGGAGGTTGAAGCAGTTCGAATATTATTTATTATTTTTTCATCCTTAAAGTACATCATTATTGTTGTTTTGTGAAATAGTAAAAATGATAATTTTGTCTTATTTAAATTAGAATATTTTAATTTTACAGTCAAACTTTGTAAAATAATGAAAATACAGATTTTTATTGTGGTTTAAATGTGAGTTAATATTTCAACAAGACTAAATATTTGGACACCTGCAGCCTCGTGAAGCTTCAGATGAACCACCAGCAGGTTTTCATGATCAGCAGATAATCAATCGATGACTTTGATTTGATTAGAGAACTAATCGTCTGATCATCCTGGGAGACCTTCACACCTGAAGGCTGATGATTAAACTCGTTTGTTCGTCTGTGGAGTCGTTTAGTGGAGGTGACACCTGATTGGTGCAGAGAAAAGTCACATGATGCATCAGACGCCTGGTGAACAGAGACAGATGTGGCTTTAGGTGAGAGAGCGTCCTCCTCGTGCTCCGCTCTGGTTCTGGAGGTCCAGACGTGTTTCTTTCTGCTCGGCGTCTCAGAATCGAGCCACGGAGACTCGACGTGAACGCTGACATGTAGCAGAGACACGGAGGCCTTCACGTGTGCTCCCACTCCTCTTTCCACAAACGCATTAGCAGGTTGCTCTGGGTGAAGTTTCCATACGAGCATCAGCACGTTAATAAATCATTAGATTTTAATTATGGTCTGTCAGCGGCTCTAAAGGACACGGAGCAGGAGATTCTCCAGACCCGCTCAGCCTCCACTTTTTTTCCTTTTCCCCCTCGGAGGCCTGCTTCATTACTCACCGGTCCTCCTTCTTCAGGGTCAGAACAAAAGATTAAACAATAGCTCAGCCTTTTAAAGTGTAATTTAAGAGCTGCTAACGGTGGAGGACTGGACACGCTGTGGAGCTGCAGCGATCGCAGGACGCCGGGCCAAAGCAAACAGTGGACGGCGAGGAATCTCATCAAACACTGAGTCTATCAGGAATCACAGATAATGACATCACTGCTATGGAGGAAGTGTTGATTCTAATTAAAACCATTATTATTATGACTCAAGACGCACAGCTGGGAGAGTTCCTGCTAAATGTACGGAGTCCCAAAGGGCTCAATATGGATTTAATAAATAATCACACAAACATGCTGCAAAAATTAAATAAGCAGAACAACAATAATAATAATATATAAAACACTGAAATACAGCTCATGGTTTGTGTTATTTAGTCAGAATTATTTCATTAGTTAAAACATTTTATTTACATTTTGTGTTTTACGCTTAATTTCACGTCAGTTTTCATAAAATCGCTTTAAGAAAGATTGAAATTAAACTCAACATGTATGCTCTTGTAATCATAAATATTTCTATAAACAATTAGTTTCATTTGCATATTTAGCTAATTTCCTTTTACATCGTGTCGCCTTTTATGAAGTTACTACTTTGTACGGAATCCCAAAGTGCCCAAAATTAACTAAATTAAATAATCACACACGTACGTTGCGTAATGTAGAATAATTAAGGGAATGAATAAAATCCAGCTCAGTGTTTATGTTATTTAATCCGAATTATTTCTGTAGTTGAAGAGTTTTCTTTGCGTATTTCTCGTTTTATCAAGTTGCTACTTTTGTACGGAATCCCAAAGCGCCCAATGTTAACAAAATTAAATAGTCACTCAAACACGTTGTCTAAATTACATAAATAAGACATTTTATATGGAATCTTTAAGAAAACAGCAGTTTATTTATGTTATTAACTATAGCGTGAGCTAGCCTACAAGAGCTAGCTAGCTAATCATACCATAAAATACAAATAACTGTTTCATAAAAATGGAGGTTGGATTTAGATGATTTCCTGAATCATTTCTCCATGTTTTAGTTGACTTCTGTACTTTACACATTTATTCATACGTGAAGTAATTTCAAAGCGTCAGCAAGCCTAAATATGCTACCTACCTAGCAGGCTAGCATGCTACCTACCTAGAGGGCTAAACATGCTACCTACCTAGTGAGCTAACATGCTACCTACCTAGCGGGCTAAACATGCTACCTACCTAGCAGGCTAACGAGCTATGCTAACAAGCTATGCTACGGGGCTGTGAGTTTAGATTATTAGAGTATTACTCAGAGTTAAACAGTTGTAGCAGCTGCAGTTTGTTAATTCTGTTTTTTTTAATCTAAAACCTCAAGAAACTCCCACCTGTGACTTTACCGTAGTTAAACAATCGCACGACAAACTAAAAGTAATATTCATTAAAAATGAGGCTCGATTTTAAATATTTGTTGTATTACCTCAGTTATTTATTACACATGTATTCATACGAGTGATCATTTTATAGTGTTTTTTATTAAAGTTTGACCACTTTAGGCCTCCGTACAGTAGCTTTAGATTGATGAAATGTTCTGTCTCTGCTGTTCATCTCAGAACTTCTAGCATCTTATTCTGCACCTCGACTTATTAGTTCATCAATAAATAACAGGTTTTATTTCCAGTCCAGATGTAAATCTGCATCACATTAGATCTCTTTTAAAGGATTTTTAAAATTCTTTTTGCACTTTAACGTGTTTTCTTGTTGCTCTTCTGTATGTGAAGCTCCTCCAATGCTCCAGAAACACAGTTTATTATTATTATGAATGCTGATGAAGTTCATCGTTAGTTAAAACTCGTTAGCTCTGCGTATCAGCTGCCTTCAGACGTTTAAGTCGTGGACGCTGCAGCGACCTCCACAGCGCCTCTAATGTTCCTGTAATCGCTGCTAACGGCGCTAATTGCAGCAGCGCTGACCTCCGAGTCTCGCAGGTCCTCCTGCTAAACGCCGAGGAAATGAAGAACAGATGTGTGCAGGAGGACGGAAAGAGAAAGTGACAGAAAGACGTTGAGACGTTGTGGACGAAGGTTAATGCACCGAACAGGAACAGTAAACCTGAGGACCGTCTGAGGATCGGGTCTGGGTTCATTCTGTGAAGGAAGTTTGGTGGTTTTCTGGTATTTTTATGTACGTTTGTTTTAATTTCATGACTTTTTGTGACCGTTTGTCTATTTGTCGACCCTTTAGAGATGTCCTGTGTCTTTTTGTTGTTGTTTAATTTGTGTTTCTGTCTTTTTCTGGTCATTTACGCCTTTTCGTGGCCATTTGTTGTCTGTCTGTGCTCATTTTATGTCATCTGGTTGTTATTTTTATGTCCTTTTTTGGTCATTTGTGTCATCTATGTACGTTTTAAGTCTTATTTTTTCACTCTGGTGCCGTTCTTGCTCTTTTTCTGTCTTTTTTTTGGACAATTTTTGGTCTTTCGTTGTAATTTTGTGTGTTTTTGTGGTCATTTACATTTTTATGTGGTTATTTTATGGTTTTTGGGGTCATTTTTCAACCATTTGTAGACGATTTGTGTCCTTTGGGGTCATTTAGTTTCACTTTTGTGCTAATTTTTTGTCTTTTGTTGTAGTTTTATATGTTTCTGGGGCCGTTTAGTCTTTTTCTTGTCATGTTTTTTGGCCATTCGTGTCATTTCTGGATCCTTTCAGGTCTTTGTGTGGATATTTCTCCTCCTTTGTGTACTTCCTGCCCTCCAGGCCAGTGTTTGTGAGCGCTGTGTCTAGGAGGCGTGACTAACGGTCCCCGTGGGCTGCAGTCAGTCTGGGGTCGCGCTGCTGCTAATTCCCATCTAATGAATATACGAGCGCTTCATTACCGACGTCCCAGACGGAACACGCTCTTATTTACACCCAGGACAGAGCGAGCCGCCCGTCTTCTTAATCACATTTCCGTTGTCGATGTGCAGGCGGCGCTCTGTGTGGTGACTCAGCGTGTGGTTTGTCTCGTGCAGGATGTGCGTCGGGTTCCCAGCATCGCTCCGGCCATCGTGCGGTCGGAGAGCAGCGAGAAGCGTCCGTTCATGTGCGCCTACCCGGGATGCAACAAGCGCTACTTCAAGCTGTCCCACCTGCAGATGCACAGCCGCAAACACACAGGTGAGCACAGGCACGCTGTAACGTCTCTGTTCTGCTGCCAGGAAGTCCTCTGAGTGTTTGAAGTGAGTCTCCAGTCGACTCTGATGCAGAACAAACGTCCCGGTAGAGGTCTGGTTTGTCCTGAACCAAGCCGTCCACACGCTGATGCATTTAAGGCTGATACTGGGCCGAAGCTGATCAGAACAAACAGAACATCCTGAAAGCTAAACGCTGATGCTGACTCAAACCTCTCGATCAGGCTGATGTCAGGATCTGCACAACAACGTTAAAGCAACAAAAAATAACATTTGTCAACTGAGAACTTTACGTTTTGGATTTTTAAAGACAAAGAAAACCAAACATGTGGCAGCACCATTAGGTCAGTGCATGAAGAATCCACCAGGTCCTCCTCACAGCCCGCTGCTGCTTTCATTTACAGTAACTCCAACATCTAATGAAGACGTTTAGAATTAAAGCTTCATACTCTGAAAACATCTCAGTGTTGAGAATGACGCCGATAACTGGGAATCTTCTCTGATGGAACCATTGAAACATGGATCTTTGTCACAAATGAACATTTATGCATTTTGGTTCTTTCATAGATTTACTGAAGGTCTTCTGGAGATAAGATCAAACCTGCTGGGTCATAAATAAACACACAGCAACTTAAATGATCAGTGTTGGAGATGATGAAAGTCATGTTGGTCAAATTCTCTGAGCTTCATGGCCTCTGAACCAGTCAGAAGGTCACCTGGATCCATTTCAGAGCAGCTTCAGATCCAGAACCATCAGTGTGTCAGCATAAAGTTCATGGTCCAGTTGTGTTACTGCCACCATCAGGAAGGAAACACAAACTAGCAGCTGCTGCTGAGAGACGACTGGTCAGGATGGTCAAGAGTCAACCAGGAACCAGCAGGAAGCAGCTCTGGATGGACCAGAAGCTGCTGGAACACAGCTGTCAGTGTCCACAGGGTCTGACATCAACATGAGCTGAGAGGCTGATGGAGAAGGAAGTTCTTCCTCTAGAAGCAGAACCTTAAAGCTCCACTGAAGTCTGCTGCTGGTCACATGGACAAAGAAAAGGCCTTCTGGAGGAAAGTTCTGGTCAGATGGAATCAACACTGAGCAGAACCATGTCTGGAGGAGAGAAGGTGAGGCCTTCAACCCCAAGAACACCAAACCTACCATCAAGCATGGAGGTGGCAGCATCATGCTCTGGTTCTGTTCTGCTGTAGATGGACCAATGAAGAAGGAGGATCACCTCCATGTTGTTCAGGAGAACCTGAAACCATCAGCAGAAGGTTGATCTTGGACACAGTTGGATGTTCCAACCAGACAATGAGCCCAAACACACATCAAAGTGGTGAAGAAATGGTTCCATCAGGCTGGAATGAAGGTTCTAGACTGGTCTCCCCAAAGTCCTGACTGGAACCATCCAGAACCTGTGGACTGATGAAGGAACAAGTCTGAGTCAGAAAGACGACGAGTTTAGTTGAACTGCAGTGGTTCTGTCCAGAGGAGTCAGAGATGGACCAGAAGCTGGTGGACGGAACCAGAAGAACCCGACTGAGGAGAACATGGACGTCTAACCAGATGTTAGTATTGATGTATGAATATTTATGACCCAGCAGGTTTCGTCATATCTCCAGAAGATGTTTAATAAATCTATGAAAGAACCAAAATGCATAAAGTTCAGAGTTTTAGGAATCACTGGAAACCTGACTGATGATGACGGTCTTTACAGGCAGACGTAAACTTTCCTCCACGTCTTCCGTCTTCAGGGTTAAACTGTGTTCACGTTTCCTCCTCCAGGGGAGAAGCCCTACCAGTGTGAGTTCCCCGACTGTGGACGGAGGTTCTCGCGCTCCGACCAGCTGAAGCGACACCAGAGGAGGCACACAGGTCTGAACCGCTCAGTCTGACTTCACATCCTTCAGCCTCTTCCCTCCTTCTGCTGTTTGCATGACACCTGATGTGTATTCCATCAATGCAGTCTTGTTGTGTAGCGTCCAGCTGAGCGGCCTCAGATGAAGCGTCTTGCTGCTGGCCGGCTGTGGAACGGCTTCTCCTCAAGCCTCTGCTCTACTGTATCTCTCTATCTCCCCGTGTGTGTGTGCGTGACGCTGAACATGTGTGTGTTCTGTGTGATCTCGGCCCGGTTGTGTGCGCATGCTCACTGTACATGTGTTTAGGGGTTAAACCGTTCGAATGCGAGACGTGTCAGAGAAAGTTCTCGCGGTCTGACCACCTTAAGACTCACACACGGACTCATACAGGTAAAACAAGTGCGTAAACTTTTTTTTTCCCATTTCTTCTTCACCCATGTTGATGTTTGTGTGACGCTGCAGCGGGTCCAGTCGGTTCCCTTCAGCTCAGAGTTCACTGGTTTGTTGTTTATTGAACACAGTGGTCCTCCCATGTGGTCGTAGCCTCACATGAAGGACGGACAGAACAGCTGGAATAAGAGGAAACTGGCAAAAGTAATAATAAATAAAAATGTAACGAAAATCAGGGCGTTGCTTTTGAGTTGTGGTTCAACAGAAATAGTAAATGTAGTATTCTGGCCCACTGCTCATCAGCAAAGGGCTCTAATTGGTCCAGGACAGTTTTTTGTTTGTTTGTTTTGATCTTTATTCTTTTTAACCACAACTCAACAGCAACGTCTTGTTTCACTAAATTATAATTTAACACATTTTTATTTATTATTTCTTTTTTCAGTTTCTACTTATCTGAGTGTGAGTTTTGCCGTTCCTTTAGTGGACGGAGGTGAATAAATCTGAGGACGCCTGCAGCTGCAGCAGCAGACAGCAGCACCATCCGTCTGATTTGTCCACATTTCAGCATCAAACTACAACTATTTCACAAAAACTAAGTTCTGTCAAATAGTTTGGCTGAATTTTAAGAATTTTCTGTTTTCAGAGCTGCGAATTTTTGTGTTTTCAGCCTAAATTTTACATTTTAAAGGTTGAATATCTCCAGAAATGAAACTCCTACAGCCATGAAGTCTGGTGAGGACTCACACAGACCAGTGTCCCGCAGATTTAAACCATTAACTGGTTCCAGCAGAGGCAGAATTCTTCATTATTGGCTCTTGAAAATGTTGTTTTTTCAAACAAGGGTGGTTTTGTGGCCCCAGAAAGTTCCTGTCAATGCATTTATATGGATGTTTTTAGTGACATTTCACCAAAGATGGCTTCAAACTTTCCCAGAAAATAAGATAAACATGGACCAAAATGATTCAAAACTGGCCAAAATGACAATATGAAGAATAGTTTGCCCTGAAAAATGGGAAAAGGTGCTGAATGTGTAAACTAGGCTGGTACTGCGGCCCTAAAACGTTTCTCTAAGTGTATATAAATGGATGGATCCATGTTTCCTTCTACAAAATACAGGCTTTAGTGATATTTCACCAACGATGGATTGAATCTAGTCCCAATGACTCAACCTCGGTTCCAGTTTTCTCCATTTCAACTCAAAGATTCCTCAAAAGTTTCCAAAACAGACCTTAAACTGTCAAATTAACAAAAATAACACCTACAAAATCTAAAATGATCTCATTACGGCTGGTTCTGTGTCTCCATAAAGTTCCTGTCAGTGTCTATCTATGGATGGATCCATGGTTCTACTAGAACCCAGTCTCTGGTCACATCTCACCACCTGTTGAGGCTCTAACATCAGCAGAACCTGATGTGGTGAAGTTGGACCAGACCAGGTTCTGGTTTTTGTTATCATGACTTGAAATCTGTCCAAAGTTAGTAAAGGTTAGCCCAGTACGGTGAGGGTTCCTTCCTCATTTGTTCCCGTAAAGTCCAGGACAGACTTTAAAATCCTTCTCAGAGCACTGAGAGGTTTTGTTTCTGGAGGTACTGAACCCAACAGTGACTCTCCAGGTTGTATCCATGGTGATGGGATGATGGATGGGATTTAGCTCCCAAATCATTGTGCAGCGTCTGATTTCCTGAACTCTGAGTGAAGCGACACCGACGGACTCGTTTGTTAGTCGTTATGAGCTAATTAAACAGCATACAGTTCCATTTGTATTGTTATTGTTATCAATTATTGCCACCAGTTCAGTGTTCGACATGTGAGCCCAGAATCCTAACACCTGTTCCTCCTCCTCCTCCTCCTCCTCCTCCTCCCGTCGTCTCTCAGGTGAGAAGCCGTTCAACTGCCGGTGGCCCAACTGCCAGAAGAAGTTCGCCCGAAGCGACGAGCTGGTGCGACACCACAACATGCACCAGAGGAACCTGAGCAAGCTGCAGCTGTCCGTCTGACCCGGCCTGGGCCACACCCGGGTTACACCTGGGCCACACCCGGGTTATACCTGGGCTACACCTGGGTTATACCTGGGCCACACCCGGGTTACACCTGGGCTACACCTGGGTTATACCTGGGCCACACCCGGGTTACACCTGGGCTACACCTGGGTTATACCTGGGCCACACCTGGGTTATACCTGGGCTACACCCGGGTTAT